CCTGGATGGCAGAGACTGATAACCCAGAGGATGATAAGGTGTACATGTTCTTCACTGAGCGCGCTCAGGAGGCAGAGGGGGCTGCTGGGAAGGTGCTGTACTCCAGAGTGGCGCGTGTCTGCAAGGTAAGGATCTCTACGTGCCTGTGTGTACTGGTACCAATGTACAGGTGTGTTTGTGTTTACTTAAAACGGGCATGTGCACTTGTGTGTTTGTAGATGTGCCTGTATATGTGTGTTTGTTTACCTTCTTACTATCATAGTTGCTGTCGATGTCAATAGTGACATCTATTCTAATCTGTGTGTGTACAGAATGACATCGGGGGCCAGCGGAGTCTGGTGAACAAGTGGAGTACCTTCCAGAAGGCACGTATTGTCTGCTCTGTTCCTGGACCCGATGGGATACAGACTCACTTTGACCAACTACGTGAGTATCAATTATCAACTCTACCTCACTCTTACTGGCCAGTGACCACACACATGACCATAAGCTCACTGACCATAACCATCATTCACCAAGTGAAACACAGACAATCCTACTAAAGTTCTACAGACATACCATAGGTTAATGGTATTGAATCTCAATAAGACAGCAGTGGGGGAGGGAGTGGCTATTGTATCGACTGTACTGGTGCTAAAGCAGCTACAGTGCTTTCAGAAAGTAATCACACCACTTGACTTTTTCCACATTTTGGTGTGTTACAGCCTGAATTTAAAATGTATTAAATTGAGATTTTGTGTCTCTGAGTATGAAAAATGTATGCACTCACTAACTGTAAGTCGCTCTGGATAAGAGCGTCTGCTAAAATGACTAAAATGTAAAATGTAAAAAATCTACACACGATACCCCATAATGAGTGGCGTAGTGGTCTAAGGCACTGCATCGCAGTGCTAACTGTGCCACTAGAGATCCTGGTTCGAATCCAGGCTCTGTCGCAGCCGGCCGCAACCGGGAGACTCATGGGCGGCGCACAATTGGCCCAGCGTCGTCCAGGGTAGGGGAGGGAATGGCCGGCAGGGATGTAGCTCAGTTGATAGAGCATGGCGTTTGCAATGCCAGGGTTGTGGGTTCAATTCCCATGGGGGGCCAGTATAAAAAAAAATAAAAAATTCACTAACTGTAAGTCGCTCTGGATAAGAGCGTCTGCTAAATGACGTAAATGTAATGTCGAAGTGGAACATGCTCAACAAATCTCCTAATAAGTTGCATGGACTCATTCCGTGTTCAATAATAGTGGTAAAAATTATTTTGTAAGGACTACCTCATCTCTGTACCCCAAACATACAATTATCTGAAAGGTCCCTCAATCGAGTAGTGAATTTCAAGCACAGATTCAACCATAAAGACCAGGGAGGTTTTTCAATGCCTCACAAAGAAGGGCACCACCGATTTGTAGATAAATAAAAAAGCAGACGCTGAATATATTCCTTTGAGCATGGTGAAGTTATTAATTGGGCTTTGGATGGTGTATCAATACCCTCAGTCCCTACAAAGATACAGGTGCCCTTCGACTCCTTCCTAACTCAGTTGCCGGAGAGGAAGGAAACTACTCAGGGATTTCACCATGAGGCCAATGGTGATTTTAAAACAGTTACTGAGTTTAGTGGTTGTGATATGAGAAAAGTGAGGATGGATAAACAACATTGTAGTTACTCCACAATACTAACCTAAATGACAGAGTGAAAAGAAGGAAGCCTGTGCAGAATAAAATATTCCAAAACATGCATCCTGTTTGCAACAAGGCACATAGCCCTTTCCTGCAGTCAAATCAAATAAAATGTTTTTTGCCACACGTGCCGAATACAACACAGTGAAATGCTTACTTACAAGCCCTTAACCAACAAAATTGCATATAATTATATAAAATTAAAAATTGCAAATAATTAAAGAGCAGCAGTAAAATAAAATAACAGTAGGGAGGCTATATACAAGGGGTACCGGTTAGTCGAGGTAATTGAGGTAATATAAAATCTGGTGTTTCTATATCAAACAGTTTTATTATATTTCAGTCTTCTGTGATATATATAAAGTGTAATATTGGGATGCAAATTAGTCCAGGTGGCCATTTGATTAATTGTTCAGCAGTCTTATGGCTTGGGGGTAGAAGCTGTTAAGGAGCCTTTTGGTCCTCGACTTTGCGCTCCGGTACAGAGAGAACAGTCTATGACTTGGGTGACTGGAGTATTGACTCAGGTGTGTGAATACTTTTATATTCTGTATTTCATTTTCAATAAATGTGCTAAAATGTATAAAAACACGTTTTCACTTTGTCATTATGGGGTATTGTATATATAAATATATAAAATATTTAATCCATTTTGAATTCAGGCTGTAACACAACAAAATGTGGAATAAGTCAAGGGGTATGAATGCTTTCTGAAGGCACTGCATATAAAAGTGAAGATTATATGCTTGGCCTACAGAAAGCTCAGTGTTTTTGATCATGCAGCCAGCATAACTCCACTCCACCCTGGCTTGTGGTATTCCACTCTGTTACCACGGTGACCAGCAGCACAGACCCTTTACCCTGCTCTGCCTTTGTAGTACTTCAGCCCTAGTCGCCCTGGCAACTACTATAAAGTCTCTATTAGAGAGGATTTAAGGGTCTGGCACTGTCCTTCTGTGTGATCTCCTGTTTTTCAAGAGTGTGTGTGTGTGTGTCTACGTGTCTACGTGTCTGTGTGTCTGTGTGAGTGTGAGCACGTGTATATGTGTGTCTATGTTTGCGCATGCACTCTGTCATCGCTGGTTATATGGGCCATGGAGTATCAGTCAGTGATGTGATCAGTAGTTGGCCTCGCTAGGAGCGAGACAGAGAGACAGGACCGGTCCCTTATCACATCTGTTTCTGTAAACACAACCAGCCAGTAAACTAAACAACACCGTCCCTACTCCCCCCCCCCCCCCCCCCCCATTCTCTCTGGGGTTATACTGAGCCAAAGTGAACCACACACATCATGACACACACACACACACACAAACACAAACACGTACACACAAACACACACACACACACACACATCACACACACACAACTCCCTGTCCAACCCGTTTCACCCAGGACAGTGAGTAGGAAGATGAACATAAACATCCCCACACAACAACCTGCCCCGGGACACGTTGCAGCTGAAAAGATCCCATCAGCCCAAGAATGCCACCGGTGTTGTGTTTACGGCACGCTCCGTCGGCCAGAAACACTACGAATCGCATGAGCGCCTTGTTCGGTTACGGGTCCCTCATGTTGAAGGAGCCAGGCTGTTATCGATGCCGGAACTTCTACAATAATATTTTGGCTAAACTGGTGTCAACTTTGACAAGAGCCACTATCCTGGCAGGTCATCAGTGTTTGTATAGGTGAAAGGGATCGTTTACAGTGTGGAGCACTCAACCATCAATACTTACTGAATACATTAGTTTCTAATCCTCCCACAGTCAGAATAAAGTGTTACCAACTGTAGTCAGATTGAAAGCTTATGAGAGACATGGTTAACAGTGGTGTAAGGTACTGAAGTAAAACATTTCCCTGACACCCAAAAGTACTCATTACATTTAGAATGCTTAGCAGATAGGAAAACTGTCAAATTCACGCACTTATCAAGAGAACATCCCTGGTCATCCTTACTCCCTCTGATCTGGCGGACTCACTAAACACAAATGCTTAGTTTGTAAATTATTGCCTAAGTGTTGGAGTGTGCCCCTAGCTATCCATAAAAAAAAAAAAGGAAATCGTGCCATCTGGTTTCCTTAATATAAGGAATGTGAAATGATTTATACTTTTACTTTGACTTTTGATACTTAAGTATATTTTAGCAATTACATCTACTTTTGATACTTAAGTATATTTCAAACCAAATACTTTCAGACTTTTACTCAAGTAGTATTTTACTGGGTGACTTTCACTTTTACTTGAGTCATTTTCCATTAAGTTATCTTTACTTTTACTCAAGCATGACAATTGGATACTTTTCCACCACTGATGGTTAGGGAAGCTCTCAGAGAATCAGAGTATAGTAGAATTTCAATTAATTTAATGTTTGTGTTTTAATATGCCTACATGTAGATATCTAAAATGTATTTTGAATGTGTTCATCAGTTGGAAACATTTGAAGTATGTATCTGGTCAGAAACCCATAAACAGACGTTTAAGCCAGGAGAGCTGGAATTCACTGGTGTGTTACTGTGTTGTTATTCAGGACAGTCATACCATGGGTTTGGACACTAACTGTTTGACCACAAAGTTTAGGTTAGACCACTCTGGTCCCGAAGCAGAGGATAACAAAGTCTTAAGGAGTTTGGGGTTTATAGATTTCAATGATTTAGAGGAAGTTGGTGTGTGTATATGTGTGTGTATGGCTGTGTGCGAGCATGTGCACGTGTGTGTGGACAGGGGGTATGCAAGACGGCACCCACATCCTAGTCCCTAGATCGCCTAGCTCGGATGAGGGAATATGAGGGAAGAGGAGGGGTGAAGAGGAGGGGTGGGGAGTTGAGGAGAAGGGTATTTTCTGGGATAAGGCTGGGGAAGATAGGGGCCGGAGCTGGAGGGGTGTGGGCAAGACAAGGATATCTTCCCTCTGGGGGAACAGATCTCTTTGTTTAGAGGAACTGACACAAGTAGAGCCCTCAGGGAAGAAAATGAGACACAGACAAAGAGAGAGAGAAAGAACTTGAGGGTTGGGAGGACAAAGTGAAAGACAAAGAAATGTATTGGAAGAGAGACTCCAAAAGGTGGATTTGAGAGATAAATGGAAGATAATTGTTCAGACAGAGAGAGAGAAAGTAGGATGAAGATGTGTTGGATAAGGAACAAAGGGAGAAGTACAATGTAGGAGAAAGTTAATGCATCCTAGGCAGGGTTTTAGGGAGAGAAAGAGAGAGAGAGAGAGAGAGAGAGAGAGAGAGAGAGAGAGAGAGAGAGAGAGAGAGAGAGAGAGAGAGAGAGAGAGAGAGAGAGAGAGAGAGGAGAGAGAGAGAGAGAGAGAGAGAAGTGCCACCGCAGCATGGTGTACCCAGACTCCTCTGCTGTGTGTTGTGCCCTGGGCTATGCGGCGGCATGTGTGTGTGTGTGCAACATTGTGTGTGTGCAGTGATGTATGTGTGCATGAAACAGAGTCTGTGTGTGTGTGCGGCGGTGTCAGTATGTGGGAGATGAGATGAGATTTCCACCAGACTGATCCCATCGAGGCCACGTGAAGCAGCAGCAACAAGAGGAACGTGAGAATAATGATACACTTTACTGTGTCCCACACCTCAAGTACAAGCCCACCTGTGTGTGCGTGCTTTGCGTTTGTCCATTCATGTGTTAATGTGTGCGTGCATTCCTGCGTACGTGTATGCATGTGTTTGTGTATCGCATCCGTTATGTACTGTGTGTAGACCGTGTGCTCCTACATATCCATGTCTTGTTTATGTACAGTGAGGGGAAAAATTATTGGATCCCCTGCTTATTTTGTATGTTTGCCCACTGACAAAGACATGATCAGTCTATAATTTTAATGGTAGGTTTATTTGAACAGTGAGAGACAGAATAACAACAAAAAAATCCAGAAAAACGCATGTCAAAGATGTTATAAATTGATTTGACCCCTCTGCAAAACATGACTTAGTACTTGGTGGCAAAACCCTTGTTGGCAATCACAGAGGTCAGACGTTTCTTGTAGTTGGCCACCAGGTTTGCACACATCTCAGGAGGGATTTTGTTCCACTCTGCTTTGCAGATCTTCTCCAAGTCATTAAGGTTTCGAGGCTGACGTTTGGCAACTTGAACCTTCAGCTCCCTCCACAGATTTTCTATGTGATTAAGGTCTGTAGACTGGCTAGTCCACTCCAGGACCTTAATGTGCTTCTTCTTGAGCCACTCCTTTGTTGCCTTGGTCATGTGCTTTGGGTCATTGTCATGCTGGAATATCCATCCACGACCCATTTTCAATACCCTGGCTGAGGGAAGGAGGTTCTCACCCAAGATTTGACGGTACATGGCCCCGTCCATCGTCCCTTTGATGCTGTGAAGTTGTCCTGTCCCCTTTGCAGAAAATCACCCCCAAAGCATAATGTTTCCACCTCCATGTTTGACGGTGGGGATGGTGTTCTTGGGGTCATAGGCAGCATTCCTCCTCCTCCAAACACGGCGAGTTGAGTTGATGCCAAAGAGCTCCATTTTGGTCTCATCTGACCACAACACTTTCACCCAGTTCTCCTCTGAATCATTCAGATGTTCATTGGCAAACTTCAGATGGCCCTGTATATGTGCTTTCTTGAGCAGGGGGACCTTGCGGGTGCTGCAGGATTTCAGTCCTTTCCGGCGTAGTGTGTTACCAATTGTTTTCTTGGTGACTATCGTCCCAGCTGCCTTGAGATCATTGACAAGATCCTCCCGTGTAGTAACTCCACGAGGTGAGATCTTGCATGGAGCCCCAGGCCGAGGGAGATTGACAGTTATTTTGTGTTTCTTCCATTTGCGAATAAATCGCTCCAACTGTTGTCACCTTCTCACCAAGCTGCTTGGCGATAGTCTTGTAGCCCATTCCAGCCTTGTGTAGGTCTACAATCTTGTCCCTGACATCCTTGGAGAGCTCTTTGGTCTTGGCCATGGTGGAGAGTTTGGAATCTGATTGATTGATTGCTTCTGTGGACAGTTGTCTTTTATACAGGTAACAAACTGAGATTAGGAGCACTCCCTTTAAGAGTGTGCTCCTAATCCCAGCTCGTTACCTGTATAAAAGACACCTGGGAGCCAGAAATCTTTCTGATTGAGAGGGGGTCAAATACTTATTTCCCTCATTAAAATGCAAATCAATTTATAACATTTTTGACATGCGTTTTTCTGGATTTTTATGTTGTTATTCTGTCTCTCACTGTTAAAATAAACCTCCCATTAAAATTATAGACTGATCATTTCTTTGTCAGTGGGCAAACGTACAAAATCAGCAGGGGATCAAATACTTTTTTCCCTCACTGTACGTGTCATACATTTGGTCAGTAGTTGATCTATGTAATGGGGAGGGAATAGAGGACAGTAATGGGCCTTAGGGGACAGATAGGCAGAGAGGCCTGGCTGCATGGCAGGGGAGGGCTTTTATATGAGGATTGGTCATGGAGGATCAGCTCATCTCCAGCTCTCACACTGAGATGGGATATTACTGCCTGGGATTCATTAGGCTGGCCCACTCAGCCGTACCATCACACCAAACAGCATTAGGAACACGCACACGCACATAAGAACAATCTTGTACACAAACACGCACACACACACACACACAGTGATGGAAAAAGTAATCAAAAGTAATCACCATACTTGAGTAAAAGTAAAGATACCTTAAAGACATGCTCCGGAACTTTGGCGCCTACACTGTAAAACCACGTTTTTAGGATCTGAACACAACTAAACACTTTTCTGTAACACATTTTAAATGCGTCAAGGCATTTAGAATTTCCATTCAAACGCGTCACAGTGTTTATATTGTAAACGCCAGAACATGTTTATTCACTGTAATACTTTTAAAACACAATGACATGTTTTTAAACACATGAACCCTAAAGTCGATGTCTGCGCCCCCACATAAATATAATTAGCATAATACACAAATCCCCATCAAAATCTGTCTGTTTAAACTAGAGATATCTGTTTTTTTGCATGGGCTGCGTCTCAATCCACCACATCCGCCAATGGCAGCCTTCCGCATCTGCAGTGGAAGGTGGCCGAGCTACAGTGGTCGGTGGTTGAGACATCCCGAAAATTGGTCTTCTCGCGAACACGTCTGTAGCGTCCGAATAGTTTGGCCTACACACTAACATGACCCCTCTATGGAAAGGTGAGACTCTCACGAACAAGTAAATGTTGGTTTCGCTCTAGGACTCTCACAAGACTCGTCTGAAGGTAGCCCGGTACCAGTTTAAAAAAATGAATGGAAGTATACACTGTATAGGGAAGTAGTTTAGTGTCCAAAAGGTTTTGTTAAATATGGGTAAAAAATTAATAAAATAATTTCCTGATCTTTCTTATATCTCTCAGATATAGGACAGACATTTTAAAACAAACTTCCTTTTGATGAATCTGTTTTTCCACGTATGGATCTGTTATTCAATGCATTTCTATGTGCTAATAGCAGTCAAACCAAATTCAATGTTTCATCAAATATTTTATTTAATATTTTTTGGGGATACCTAAAGGGGTCCTTAAATTCAAAATCAAATAGCTAAATTATCCTTGTTATGACCATCTTAAAATAATTCCATATGTTAGCTTAGTAGAACCCTCCCAGCATAGACCCTTAAGGATTTTAAACCCTAAACACTGGTGGTGTTGTTTTAACACTGTAGAGTGTAAAGCCATATTTGCAAATTTTCCAGCATGCCTTTTGAGTGAATGTGAGAGATCCCAATCCTGACTGTGTTTGTTAGTGACAGAGACAGGGTTGTTGCGTTCAGTAACTTCTATTCGTGTAGTCTTCACCAAGTGACTACCTAAGTGAATGTGTTTCAATTAAAAGTAAATCCTTTATGACCATATATTATACATTTCTCAAGGCCTTTCGTTATGGCCTAGTTATCCTCGACATTGTGGTCTGATAATCCTGGCACATGGGCCACATCAGACCTGCAAGTCACAATGCGTTGGTTTGCGAAGTGATTAGTCATTCCTATCGGAATCCAACCAGAAGGAGGATATCCAACAATTTGAATATTTTATCACCCACAACCTCCACTCAGAATGACTGCTATGGTGAAAGATTTAACAAACAACACTACCTAAACCATCTAAACTTGAACAACCATCTCAGTAACAGGTGCAATAAATCCAACTAGATTAGTTTAGAAAATGTAAGTTATTTATCTTTGCATAGTATATGATAAATTAATCAATCAATGTGCATGAGGACACAGATATTAAAACTATGAGTAGACACATGAAAAGTGGGCTGTATACGGAGGGTAAAGGGCAACAGAAGACAAACAGCAGAGGGGCTAATGATCTTGGAGATGGGGAAAGGGCCGATGAACCAGGGGGAAAGTTAACAACACTCCACCCTGAGGGGCAGATCATGGGGGACAGCCATACCTTCTGCCCGAGATGATACCGGGGAGCCGGGGTCCGGTGGCGGTCCGCTTGTCGTCGATACTTGGAGGTGGTCTTGAGAAGAGCCGGCCGGGCTCTCCTCCAGGTTTGACGACAGCGGCGGATAAACATCTGGGCCGAGGGATGGCCAACCTCTTCCTCTTGCTCCGGGAAGAGCGGGGACTGATAACCCAGGGAACACTCAAAGGGCGAAAGACCCGTGGCAGAGCAGGGAAGGGTGTTGTGGGCGTATTCGACCCACACTAGTTGATGGCTCCAGGTGGAGGGGTTGGTGGAGACCAGGCAGCGCAGAGTAATCTGCTGCATGCTGTCGTCAGAGTTCTTCTGGGTCTGGAGGCGGCAGACAGGGCACTCTCGCGTCACCCCTGGTAGTGCAAACCTACACTCATTCAGAGCCCTTTGCTGCGCACATCACCATACACGTCACCTTCCCTGATTACATGGTAGTTCCCAGTGTAAGGCACTGGTCGATTCAGGCGCAGCTGGGAACTTCATGGACAGGTGTTTAGCTAATAGTCTATTGATCACATTGGTTCCCCTACCCATTCCATTGCCCATCAAAGCACTTGACAGTCGACCATTAGGGTCAGGTTATGTTAGGGAGGTTACAGCACCAGTCACGATGATTATGCAGGAGACCCATTTGGAGCAAATCACCTTTTTTATTATTGTGTCCCCTGATTTCCCTGTTGTGTTGGGTCTTCCCTGGCTCGCACTACACAACTCCACCTTTTCATGGCCACAGAGGGTTCTCACGGGGAGGTCGCGAGAGTGTCAGGGTAAGTGTCTAGCTGTTTCCGTTGGTGCAACCACGGTGGAAAGTCCAGACACTACCTCCACCGTGCGCATTCCCCCCGAATACCTCGACTTGGCGCACGCGTTTTCCAAAATGCAGGCGACCGAATTACCACCCCATCGGGCGGGGAATTGTGCAATAAACCTCTGGTTAGATGCTGTGCCTATCAGGAGTCATGTCTATCCCCTGTCGCAGGCTGAAATGGAGGCTATGGAGACATACGTCTCCGAGTCCCTGCGCCAGGGGTTCATACGCTCTCCAGTTCGCCCGCCTCCTCGAGTTTCTTTTCGCTTAGGCAAGGTCGCAGCTCCCATCACCTCTCTGTTGAAGGGTGGGCCGTCTCGGCTCCGCTGGTCTGCTGAGGCTGACAGGGCTTTCAGTAACCTGAGGGCTCTGTTCACCTCAGCCCTGGTACTGGCCCATCTCGATTCATCATTACCATTCGTAGTGGAGGTTGATGCGTCCGAGGTAGGGATAGGTGCTGTCCTATCCCAATGCTCGGGCACGCCACCCAAGCTCTGTCCCTTCTTCTCTAAGAAGCTCAGTCCGGCAGAGCAGAACTACGACGTTGGTGATCGGGAGCTGTTGGCTGTTGTCAGAGCCCTGACCGTGTGGAGCCACTGGCTCGAGGGGGCGAAACAACCTTTCCTCGTCTGGACTGACCACCTTAACCTGGAGTACATCTGGGAAGCGACGAGGCTGAACCCTCGCCAGGCCAGGTGGGCCTTGTTCTTCACCCGGTTTGATTTCACGTTGTCATACATACCAGGTACTAAGAACGTGAAGGCAGACGTGCTGTCATGGCTGTACAACACAGAGGAGAGGCACATAGACAACACCCCCATACTCCCGGCCTCCTGCATTGTGGTGCCGGTAGTGTGGGCGGTGGACGCGGACATAGAGCGGGCGTTACGCACAGAGCCATCTCCATCTCAGTGCCCAGCTGGGCTGCGGTACGTGCCGTCTCTTGTCCGTGACCGTCTTATCTATTGGGCACACACGTCTCCCTCCTCTGGTCACCCAGGTATCGGCCGTACAGCGCGCTGCCTGATCGGGAAGTACTGGTGGCCTACCTTGGCTAAGGACGTGAGGGTGTATGTCTCCTCCAGCTCGGTGTGCACCCAGAGTAAGGCACCTAGGCACTTCCCAGCGGGTAAGTTACATACCTTACCAGTTCCACAACGGCCATGGTCCCACTTGTCAATTGACTCCTCACTGATCTTCCCGTCTCTCAGGGTAACACCACCATCCTGGTCGCTTTTCTAAAGCCTGCTGCCTCCTTCCTCTGCCAGGTTTCCCCACGGCCCTGCAAACTGCGGAAACCTGTTTACTAACATATTCCGGCACTACGGGGTGCCAGAAGACATAGTGTCTGACCGGGGTCCCCAGTTTACATCCAGGGTCTGGAAGGCGTTCATGGAACGTCTGGGGGTCTCGGTCACCCGGTTCATTCCTGCGTACCGCTGTCTTACTGAATAAACCATTTATTCTGTGATTTACCATCCTGCGCCTGACTCCGTCCAAATCACCCGCCACAGACCAGGGATGGTGAGGAACCAGCCGGAGCTTGCCGAGGAGTCTTGTTCTGCACACAGATCGTGCAGATGGCGATGAACGCAGAGACGTCAGGAACCATGGTAGGCCACCAAAAGCGTTGTCGCTCCAAGGCCAGGGTCTGACGGGAGCCCGGGTGTCAGGCAAGCCTGGAGGAGTGGGCCCACTCCAGGACCAAGGAGCGTACAGCATCAGGAACAAACATCCAGTTATCTGGGACCCCCCTGGGGTTCGGCTGGGAACGCTGCGACTCCTGGACCTGCTTCCCTATTCCCCAACTGAGTGCCAAGCCAAGCACGAGATGGGAAGGATGGTCTCGGATTCCGGGATAGCGGCGTGACAGTGCATCTGGCTTGACATTCTTGGATCCCGGTCGGTATGAGAGGGAGAAGTTGAACCGGGTGAAAAGCAGGGCCCACTTAGCTTGCCTGGTTTTGAGACGCTTGGTGTGCTGAGATATTCCAAGTTCTTGTGGTCTGTCCACACAATGAACGGATGTTCCGCCCGCTCCAGCCAGTGCCTCCACTCCTCCAACGCCATCTTCACCGCGAGAAGCTCACGATTCCCCACATCGTAATTCCTCTCCGTGGTGTTGAGGTGATGGGAGAAGGCACAGGGATGTAACTTGAGGTCCTGGGCCGAACGCTGGGACAGGACCGCCCCCACTCCGACATCCGAAGCATCGGCCTCCACCACGAACTGGCCAAGATTGGCGCAGTGGTGAAACGATGTTTGAGGTCCCGGAACACCCAGTCAGCAGCTGGGGACCATGTGAACGGAACCTTGGGAGAGGTGAGTGCAGACAGGAGGGAAGCCAGGGTGCTGTAACCCCGGATAAAGCGGCAATAAAAGTTGGAGAATCCCAGGAAACGTTGCAGCTGCACTCTGGACCTAGGCTGGGGCCTATCCACCACTGCTCTCTCCTTCCCGGGATCCATCTGTACACTCCCTGCAGCGATGCTGTAGCCCAGGAACGGGATGGTGGACCTATCGGACGTGGAGCACGTGTTCTTGGGCGGAGCGAGAGAAGACGAGGATGTCGTCGAGGTAGATGAAGATGAACCTGTTCAACATGTCGCGGAGAACATCATTAACCATGGCCTGGAACACAGCTGGAGCATTGGTAAGGCCAAATGGCATGACCAGATACCAGTAGTGACTGCTGGTCGTGTTGAAGGCAGTCTTCCACTCGTCCCCCTCCTGTATCTGCACCTGGTGGTAGGCGTTCCGTAGGTCCAGCTTGGAGAACACGTTGGCCCACTGGAGCGGCTCGAAGGCCGAGGAGATGAGTGGTAGCGGGTAGCGGTTCTTCACCGTGATGTCGTTGAGGCCCCAGTAGTTGATGCACGGACGCAGGGTTTTATCCTTCTTCTCCACAAAGAAGAACCCTGTTCCGGCGGGGGAGGCAGAAGGATGGATAGTCAAGTTTCCATAGCCTTGGTCTCCCGGCCCGACAGCGAGTACAGTCGTCCCCAGGGCGGAGTGGTGCCTGGGAGAAGGTTGATTCCGCAGTCATAGGGTCAGTGCGGCGGAAGCAAAGTGGCCCGGGCCTTACTGAACACCTCCTGGAGGTCCTGGTACTCCGTGGGAATGGCAGAGAGGTCCAAGTCCAGGGGCAGGCTGCGCTGACTTCAGGTAATGAGCATGGCAGAACGGGCTCCAGCCCACGATGGCACCAGTAGACGAGTCAATAAAGGGGTTGTGTCGCTGGCGCCAAGAGAAACCCAATACCACGGGAACCTGAGGAGACTTAATTAGCAGGAATTTGATATTTTCGCTGTGGTTCCCTGACACTCGTAGGTTGATGGGGGTGGTATTGTGGGTGACCCTTCCTATAGAGCACCCATCCAGCGCTCTAATGTCCATGGGAATGGAGAGGAGCTGAGTGGGGATGCCCAGCTCGGACGCCAGGGTAGCGTCCATAAAGCTCTCATTGGCCCCAGAGTTGATGAGTACCCGGAGAGATTTCGACTGGTTCCCCTACAACAAGATGGCATGAAAGGGGGTGCGAGTAAGGGGAGAGGAAAAGTTATCCGTATGGCCCACCAGAGTACTCGCTTCTACAGGTCAGCCTGGCCTTTTAGTGGACAGGTGGACACAAAATGACCAGTAGTCCTGCAATAGAATACAACATCGAAGATATACAACAAGGATTATACACACCTTGAGTCAGGGCGTGACAATTTTAAACAAACAAGACAGAACAATTTCTTTTTTTTTTTCTTTTTTTTTTGGAGGTCAGGAAAAATGTATGGGAGTGTAAAGTAAATATTTTCTTTAGGAATGTAGTGGAATAAAATACAAAAGTTGGCAAAAAAACAAATAGTAAAGTAAAGTACAGACACCCCAAAAACGACTTAAGTAGTACTTTAAAATATTTGTACTTAAGTACACCACTGCACACACACACACACACACACACACACACACACACACACACACACACACACACACACACACACACACACTGTAAGTGACAAACTCAACCCTGTTATGTCACTTACAGTATTTACTGCAAATCAGCCCTATAATCTGTTTGACCAAAGTCTATTACCTAACGCAACATGTGTCCCTTCTCTTCTCCTTCCAGAGGACATCTTTATCCTCCATGACGGGAAGGACAAGAAGAACCCTCTGATCTACGGACTCTTCACCACATCCAGGTGAGCCAGCCTCCGGCACATAGTTCACCACAACCCCACTGCCATTGGAACTTCAGTCATTTGTTTCCCATGGCTGATGTTGTATTGTCTTATGTAGCTGTTATAAAGCATTTATGAATGCATACATGAGGGGTGCCGTAAAGTGTTACCAGATACAGTGCCTTCGGAAAGTATTCAGACCCATTGACTTTCTCCACATTTTGTTACGTTACAGCCTTATTCTAAAATTGATTACATAGTTTTTTCCCCCTAATCAATCTACACACAATACCCCATAATGACAAAGCAAAAACAGGTTTTCAGAAATGTTTGCACATTTATTAAAAAGAAAAAACTGAAAATAATACATTTACATAAGTATTCAAACCCTTTACTCAGTACTTGTTGAAGCACCTTTGGCAGCGATTACAGCCTCGGGTCTTCTTGGGTAGGGTGCTACAAGCTTGGCACACCTGTATTTGTGGAATTTCTCCCATTGTGCTCTGCAGATCCTCTCAAGCTCTGTCAGGTTGGATGGGGAACGTCGCTGCACAGCTATTTTCAGGTCTCTCCAGAGATGTTAGATCAGGTTCAAGTCCGGGCTCTGGCTGGACATTCAGAGCCTTGTCCGAAGCCACTCCTGTGTTGTCTTGGCTGTGTGCTTAGGGTCATTCTCCTGTTGGAAGGTGAACCTTCGCCCCAGTCTGAGGTCCTGAGTGCTCTGGAGCAGGTTTTCATCAAGGATCTCTCTGTACTTTGCTCCGTTCATCTTTCCATCAATCCTGACTAGTCTCCCAGTCCCTGCAACTGAAAAACATCCCCACAGCATGATGCTGCCACCACCATGCTTCATCATAGGGATGGAGCCAGGTTTCCTCCAGACGTGACGCTTGGCATTCAGGCCAAAGAGTTCAATCTTTGTTTCATCAGACCAGAGAATCTTGTTTCTCATGGTCTGAGAGTCCTTTAAGTGCCTTTTGGCAAATTCCAAGTGGGCTGTCATGTGCCTTTTACTGAGAAGTGGCGTCCGTCTGGCCACTCTACCATAAAGGTCTGATTGGTGGAGTGCTGCAGAGATGGTTGCCCTTCTGGAAGGTTCTCCCATCTCCACAGAGGAACTCTGGAGCTCTGTCAGAGTGACCACCGGGTTCTTGGTCACCTCCCTGACCAAAGCCCTTCTCCCCCGATTGCTCAGTTTGGCCGGGTGGCCAGTTCTAGGAAGAGTCTTAGAGGTTCAACACTTCTTCCATTTAAACATTATGGAGGCCACTGTGTTCTTGGGGACCTTCAATGCTGCAGAAATGTTTTGGTACCCTTCCCCAGTTCTGTGCCTTGAAATAATCCTGTCTCAGAGCTCTACAGACAATTCCTTTGACCTCATTGCTTGGTTTTTGCTCTGACATGCACTGTCAACTGTGGGACCTTATATAGACAGGTGTCTGCCTTTCCAAATCATGTCCAATCAATTGAATTTACCACAGGTGGACTCCAATGAAGTTGTAGAAACATCTAAAGAATGATTAATGGAAACAGGATGCACATGAGCTCAATTTCAAGTCTCATTGCAAAGGGTCTGAATACTTATGTAAAGAAGGTATTTCTATTTTTTATTTTTAATACATTTGCAATCATTTCTGTTTTCGCTTTGTCATTATGGGGTATTGTGTGTAGATTGATGAGGGAAAAAAATAATTTAATCAATTTTAGAATAAGGCTGCAACGTAACAAAATGTGGAAAAAGTGAAGGGGTCTGAATACTTTCTGAATGCACTGTATATACCCGTGTTGCAGTTGTACTAAACTCCTAAGGCGTAAACGTTCTTAAAGAGTCAATGTGCATCATTCATTAAAATGACAATTGAACAGATAAAGAGGTATGCTTTGATATCCTATGCAGAAAAATATACATATTTATTTACATAGAATTAGACATAATGATTATAGCTCTAAATTGCAGGAAAAAGCTGTTTCAGGTTTTTGAAAAATGCTTCATTCTCATTCTTCCAGAGAATTGGGAACAGCCCCCCTCTGGGCCACCCACCTCCATCCATACGTACTTCGTGCCCATCTAAAATAATGGGTGCATTTTGTGTGTGTGTACTCCGTATATGTGTACGTATGAGGCGATGGTGGAGAGATGGGAGAGGTTAGGGTGAGTTATGTCTCTGATGGGATCATACTTTCCACAGTGACGCCAAGCCTCAGCAGCAGAAATGTATGGTAATTCAATAAACTTCAAACCAGTTCATGAGAAAGGTTTTCTCTATATGAATTTATGGTTCATCTATGATCCTCAATATGTTTCACATTAGAAAGTTCAAAGTGATTGTGTCTTTCTGTATTGTTTATTTGTTTGTTGTCCCCCACCATGAAATCGGGGAGGGGACTGTGGATCTGTCTCCTTCTGTTAGTATGTTAGTGTGTTAGTGTGTTTATACTTTAGTCACACGCGATATCTAAGACAGCACTTGCCCGATTTTGATGAAACTTGGGTGAATGATGCATCATGCCATAGAGATCCAGCATTTACAAAATTACATTGATTGACCAGATGGTGACGTTATAACAATTGATGGAAAATGCTAACTTTGAAAGGTCATGCCCCTCACCCCGTTTTACCTAAAGTCTTGAAATTCGGTACATACAGTTGAAGTCAGAAGTTTACATACACTTAGGTTGGAGTCATTCAAACTCGTTTTCAACCACTCCACAAATGTCTTGTTAACAAACTAAAGTTCTACTACATCTACTTTGTGCATGACACAAGTAATTCTTCCAACAATTGTTTACAGACAGATTATTTCACTCATAATTCACTGTATCACAATTCCAGTGGGACAGAAGTTTACATACACTAAGTTGACTGTGCCTTTAAACAGCTTGGAAAATTCCAGAAAATGATGTCATGGCTTTAGAAGCTTCTGATAGGCTAATTGACATCATTTTAGTCAATTGGAGGTGTACCTGTGGATGTATTTCAAGGCCTACCTTCAAAATCAGTGCATTGCTTGACATCATGGGAAAATCGAAAGAAAGACCCCAGAAAAGAAATTGTAGACCTCCACAAGTCTGGTTCATCCTTGGGAGAAATTTCCAAACGCCTGAAGGTACCACGTTCATCTGTACAAACAATAGTACGCAAGTATAAACACCATGGGACCACGCAGCCGTCATACCGCTCAGGAAGGAGACGCGTTCTGTCTCCTAGAGATGAACGTACTTTGGTGCGAAAAGTGCAAATCAATCCCAGAACAACAGCAAAGGACCTTGTGAAAATGCTGGAGGAAACAGGTACAAAAGTATCTATATCCACAGTAAAACAAGTCTTATATCGACATAACCTGAAAGGCCACTCAGCAAGGCAGAAGCCACTGCTCCAAAACCGCCATAAAAAAGCCAACCTATGGTTTGCAACTGCACATGGGGACAAAGATCATACTTTTTGGAGAAATGTCCTCTGGTCTGATGAAACAAAAATAGAACTGTTTGGCCATAATGACCATCGTTATGTTTGGAGGAAAAAGGGGGTAGAACACCATCCCAACCGTGAAGCATGGGTTGGCAGCATCATGCTGTGGGGGTGCTTTGCTGCAAGAGGGACTGGTGCACTTCACAAAATAGATGGTATCATGAGGAAGGAAAATTATGTGGATATATTGAAGCAACATCTCAAGACATCAGTCGGGAAGTTAAAGCTTGGTCGCAAATGGGTCTTCCAAATGGACAATGACCCCAAGCATACTTCCAAAGTTGTGGCAAAATGGCTTAAGGACAACAAAGTCAAGGTATTGGAGTGGCCATCACATAGACCTGACCTCAATCCTATAGAAAATGTGTAGGCAGAACTGAAAAAGCATGTGCGAGCAAGGAGGCCTACAAACCTGACTCAGTTACACCAGCTCTGTCAGGAGGAATGGGCCAAAATTCCCCAACTTATTGTGGGAAGCTTGTCGAAGGCTACCCGAAACGTTTGACCCAAGTTAAACAATTTAAAGGCAATGCTACCAAATACTAATTGAGTGTATGTAAACTTCTGACCCACTGGGAATGTGATGAAATTAATAAAAGCTGAAATAAATCATTCTCTCTACTATTATTCTGACATTTCACATTCTTAAAATAAAGTGGTGATCCTACAGTAGGGAGAACAAGTATTTGATACACTGCCGATTTTGCAGGTTTTCCTACTTACAAAGCATGTAGAGGTCTGTAATTTTTATCATAGGTACACTTCAACTGTGAGAGGCGGAATCTAAAACAAAAATCCAGAAAATCACATTGTATGATTTTTAAGTAATTAATTTGCATTTTATTGCATGACATAAGTATTTGATCACCTACCAACCAGTAAGAATTCCGGCTTAAATTAATTACTTAAAAATCATACAATGTGATTTTCTGGATTTTTGTTTTAGATTCCGTCTCTCACAGTTGAAGTGTACCTATGATAAAAATTACAGACCTCTACATGCTTTGTAAGTAGGAAAACCTGCAAAATCGGCAGTGTATCAAATACTTGTTCTCCCCACTGTAACTGACCTAAGACAGGGAATTTTTACTAGGATTAAATTTCAGGAATTGTGAAAAACTGAGTTTAAATGTATTTGTCTAAGGTGTATGTAAACTTCTGACTTCAACTGTAGGTCCCTCTCCTCACAAGGAACAAATTCTCCTCATGGACGGATAAGGCCCGCCATGATGGATTCACTGCCATTTAGAATTTGTGAAAAACACTTCAAATGCTACTTCTGGCACTGAATGACCGATCTGCACGAAACTTGATATGTGGCATCTATGGACAAAGGTCTCTCAACACAATATTTTCCAGACTAGTACCTCAAACAACAAGGCCGCTATTGACCAATAAACATTCACGTGGGCATGACCTGGCACATAAATGCATATAAATCAGTCAAGAATATTCGTATTGTAACAACATTTAATATAGCAACACTCAAATATAAATAACATACATTTTTCTAAACTAATCCAATCTGTTACTTGGACTTATTGCACCCTTACTGAAATGGTTGTTCCAGTTGAGATGATTTAGGTAGTCTCATATCTTAATCTTCCTAACCTGGCAGTCATTCTGAATGCAGGTTGCAGATGAATAAAAATGCTAAATGTTGGATATCCCCCCTCTGACTTGATTCCAATAGGAATTACACATCACTTTGCAAACCAGCATAATGTGACTTGTAGGCCTGATGTGGCCTGTAAACCATGAGTTTTAGGCCACTGTATTAGGGTAAAACTGGGCCCTCAAAATAAGTAATATGCAAAAAAGGCTTTACACTAAGCACTGTGTTAATTTAACACTGAAAAGTGTGAACCCTAATAGACACCGGACCAGTGTTAAATTGAACACTCTCAGTGTTGATTTAACACTGGAGAATTTGCTGTGTGACATACAGACAACAGACAGTACTGTCTGTAGTGACAGATGATAACAAACACATAACTGACTGGCAGTGTGAGTTTCATTGTGTTTGACAGTTGATTGACAGGCAATAATCCTCTCTTCCCCATAGTGACATTCTGAATGGCTCAGCAGTGTGTGTGTACCGCATGCAGGACGTGGTCCGGGCATACAAAGGAAACTTCTACCACAAGGAGGGACCACAATACAAGTGGGCCGAGTACACAGGAAAGATCCCCTACCCAAGACCTGGCACAGTAAGTTCTCTTCTAATGAGCTGTCATTCCCTGTCCAGCATTACTCACCATATTCTGATTCATCATGTAATACTAAATGTACTGAGGACGAAGCTCTCTGACAATAAAAGGAATACAAGCACTGTCTTTGACCCAACTCTAGCTCAACAACAACTCTAGTCCAATGGGCCAACTATTTTCTTCTCAACCTTAACTTAAACCCAACTCTAACCATTTTATGTCCAACTCCATCCATGTCTTTGAATGCTTGATGCCAATACAGCTCTCTTTATCTCCCTCCAGTGTCCCAGCAGCACATACGGTAGCTACAGCTCCACCCGGGAGTATCCCGATGACGTCATCTTCTTCAGCCGTACCCACCCTCTGCTGCAGGAGGCGGTGCTGCCACTGGGAGGGCGCCCCCTGTTGGTCAGGGTGGGAGTGCACTACAAGTTCAGCCGACTCCTGGTGGACCGAGTAGAGGCAGTGGACGGACAGTATGACGTCCTGTTCATTGGCACAGGTGTGTGTGTGCGGGAAGAGGTTTTGTGAATGTGTGTGTGCGTGTTGTGCTTGCGTGTGTGTGTTTGAGTACAGTACAAGCAGGAGTGTCCTCTGTGTTGCAGACTCAGGTCAGGTGCTGAAGTCGATCCACCTCCCTAAAGAACACGGTGTCACCCAGGAGGTCACCCTGGAACAGCTGCAGGTCTTCCAGGTACAACGATGTATCCTTACATAGAAATCTGTAGGTTATTTTCTTCCTTTTTTTGACAGATCTGTAATTTCTTCTGTCCTCAGGTTTACCCTAACATATTTTCCCCTCTCTCCACACAGCACAAGTCACCTGTGACTACCATGACACTGTCCAAGAAAAAAGTAAGTATGGCACAAATATACACAAACAACTGCCCCCCCCAACACACTCATCTCTCTCTCAAGGAGAGCTTCATCACCAGTTGCTATGGTAACCACCGAGCGATGAGGCCTGGCTTACACTGAGATAGGGAATCTACATACACACCAGTAAACACGTTCCGTAGCAGTCAGTCTCAGTCTTATATGAATGTTGAAAGTGTGAATCAGCGAAGGCATGAATTCCTGAAACAACTGATGGTTGTGGCTGCTGCTCTCTGAGCCACGCTGGAATGATCTGAATGTCTTTCTTCTCTGTTTTCTTTGTGTGTGTGTGTGGCTACAGCAGTGGCTGTTTGTGGGTTCTGCGGAGGGTGTGGCCCAGTTGGCTCTGTTCCAGTGTGAGCTGTACGGCCAGGCCTGCGCTGAGTGCTGCCTGGCCAGAGATCCCTACTGCACCTGGGATGGACACGCCTGCAGCCCCTTCATGCCCATCGCACGCAGGTGGGCCCGCTCAGCTCACACTCAACCCAATTATGATCCAACACCTACATTGAATACCTAGCACTTCACACAGTTATATTACTAAACATGAAGTTATAAACTAAACATGAAGTTTAAATGGAGTGGAAATGAAAGTTATTCTACTTTTAAGTCTATGACAGCTCATGTTCATATACCCAGTACCCACTCATCCAACACATGTACATGTAGCTATAAGCCTGCCCTACTCATATTTACATAGGCATATGAACATGAATACTCACATTTAGTACATACTCTTATCTAACATGATGTCTTTTTTGGTTTCCTCTCACTGAAGGAGGAATGCTCGTCAGGTTGGTGATGAGGAGGATCCTCTGACCCAGTGTGTCATACAAGGAGGTGAGGAGGAACTGTCAAGAGCCGCACTCTCACAGACATACACTAGCTTAGGTGTCTATATACACTGAGTATACCAAACATTAGCAACACCTTCCTAATATTGAGCATCCACAGGGATGCTGGCCCATGTTGACTCCAATGTTTCCCACAGCTGTGTCAAGTTGGCTGGATGTCATTTGGGTGGTGGACTATTCTTGATACACACGGGAACTGTTGAGCGTGAAAAACCCAGCAACGTTGCAGTTCTTGACACAAACCGGTGCGCCTGGCACCTACTACCATACCCCGTTCAAAGGCACTTATTTTGTCTTATCCCATTCACCCTCTGAATGGCACACATACACAATCCATGTCTCAATTGTCTCAAGGCTTGAAAATTCTTCTTTAACCTGTCTTCTCCCCTTCATCTACACTGATTGAAGTGGATTTAACAAGTGACATCAATAAGGGATCATAGCTTTCACCTGATCAGTCTATATCATGGAAATAGCATGTTTTGTATACTCAGTGTAGAGTAGACATTGTGACATTTTTCTCTGTCTCTATTCAGCCGGTCTGCAAGTGGAAGCAGAACAGAGGATGATGATGGTTGCCGAGGGTAACAGCACATACCTGGAGTGCCTGCCCAAATCCAGACATGCAGCCGTCACTTGGTACAAACAGGCAGGAGAGAACAGCCCTGAGCTGAATCAGGTGCATACTGACACACAGGCAGTTACACGCATGCACACACACATATGCACACACACACATGCACAGACACACACAGGTCTAAACACTCACACTCGTCTCTGTGTTGCAGTTGCAGTCAGGAGAGCAGCTGGTGGTGACAGAGAGAGGTGTTCTGATCAGTCGGGCCGAGACGGGTCACTCTGGTGTGTACCACTGTCAACTGGAGGAGCACGGCTTCCGCTGGACCGCCGTCACTGTGCGTCTGAGTGTGTGGAGCCCCTCCCGCGCCCTCTCCTGGTCCACCAGCAATCCCAACCCCAATTCCAGCCCAGATGCCTCCCAACCCTGGTACCAGGACGTCATGGCCCTCATCCACCCCAGCAGCCTGGAGCAGCACTGTCAGAGGCTGGGCTTCCGACGCCGCCGCAACCGCGAGCAGGATAAGACCAAGGACAGTGACCACAAGACAAGGGACGGCCCCAAGGGCGAGAGGCACAAACATGGAGGCCGAGGAGGAGGAGGAGGAGGTGGGAGGAAGAGTAGGAGCAAACCCAAGCAGAGGTCTCCACGAAGCTCTTAGATGCTCCACTGCATACTATGTGCTTTCTCCTAACTTACACACTCAAACACTGTCTCACTCTCTCAAAAACACACACACACATTTACAAAAACACATATTCATGTAGAATGGGGACATAGGAGGCTCAGTGTGGGCTGGACTCAGAAGTGTGAATGTGGTTGCATAGCGTGTTGGATGAAGGATGTACAGCATGTCCAAGAGACTGGTAAAGAATATATTAAGGCATGAAAAGGACCTGGAAGAATGTGGTGTCTCATAAGACAGAAAAAAATCCCCTGAAGGTGAAGCTAGGATCTGTCCTAATGAAAGACAGAGAGGGAGTCAAAAGGACACAAGCATGTGAGAGAGACTTAAGTGTCTTCAAGGTAAAACATTTGTGATTTGTCTTTGATGTAAAAAAAAAAAGAAGCTACATTTTCCTTATTTATCTTTGTGTGTCATATTTATTTCTGTTTTGAATCAAACGGTTAGTTTCAGTAGTTGTATGAGGTCAGTTTTATTTAGCAAAAGCTCTGTGGTGTTCATTAGGCTTTCAACTCAAGCTTGACTCCTCACAACTGGCCTCATTGATACCGGGTGTGTTTCACATTAGTGCATCAGAGAAATTAAAAGGGGAAACTCAGAGTCAAACCAGCAAATCTGCCTAAATGAAATGCAGCAAAGCTAAAGCACTTTTAATGCTTTAGAAAAATAAACTTTTGTTTCGAGTTCTGGAGCAGCTGCATAAAAGCAGAGAGAGACGGAGAACATTTAAAATGTGGTCAGACTTTTACCACATAAAAGACGCAACCAATACTGAGCAAGGTCCTCGTTAGTGTGTGTGTGTGTGTGTGTGTGTGTGTGGTGTGTGTGTGTGTGTGTGTGCGTGCTTTATTCACTACCATAAAGTATGATGGAATCCATAAAGAAAGTATTTTATAATGAAACGTAATGTTTATGCTTTCCTCAAAGACCTTGTTCAGATCCTTCCCTCATTCATTATACGTATTTCATTTTGTAGCCTATATTTATATCTCTGTGCCAATATTTCTTTGCGAATGTCTCTCCCAAGTTGAGACACACAGTGTAGATACACAATTTTACCAGTATGTTTTCTTACTTTCCTTTTTGTGGTATAGGAAACTTGTCCATCATCAATAAGACACACACAAACACACATTCATACTCATACCCACACTAACACAGCGTGTGGACACATGATAGATCTGGAAGATTCATATCATTGCAACTTTATTACTCCACGTACAAACAATCCATTATCAACAACCCACATTCCTCATCCTATATCTTCCAATTCACAAGAATGCATTCAACATTAGCCTGCAGAAAAAACGCAAACATTAATGAGAATATATAAACACTGAAATAGCCAAGTGGTTCTGACAAACAGTATATCCCATTGAGTCTGAACTGAAAAAAGGAAACCACACATAAAAACATTTTCAGTGCATTGTGCTGTTTGGATGGAGGGAGAGGTGGTTATGTTTGGGCGGATCTCAATCGCCATGGTTCAGATGTGGTTGAACGTCTTCTCCGTCACGTTTGCCCTCTGTAAGCTGCTCTCTCTGGACTAGCACAGAACATAACATGCTTCAGGGCCTTTAGGTCTCCTCAAGTCCAACTAAGACTTCATCTAAATGGTGGTGAGATAGCGTTTAAACATATGGTATGTTTATTGTTGTGTGTGTTTCCCTAGATACTGGTGTCCTCTAAACAAATAAACAAATCAACGTACAATTTACAATGTTGACTGTTGGCTCAGTATTTGAACACAAGCGAATGTATTGTGACACTATAGAAAACAAATACCTTGGGCCCTATGAGTTAGTGCTTGTAGCTTAATGTTATAGCTGTCCACGCAGATATCCCCAGGGATAGTATGTGTGTATCTGCTATGTTTCTCCCATCTTGAATATCACAAGATTGTAGCAGAGAATGGCATGGGTGGGGCTCTCACAGCACAGATGACACACTCATGGCCATGTGGCAAACAGCTCTGTGACATCAGAAGTGATGGGCAATGGTCTCTGTCTCCCTCTGTGGGGAAGAAAGATAAGTGCATGGAGAACTCGGGTATAGATGCAGCCACTGAATGCAAAGCTCATCAGGGACAGATCGAAATTTACTGGGGGAGAAGGGCTGGTCCAACTCAAGGTGTCATAAAAAAAGAAATGCACCCCCCCCTCCCCAAATGACCCTCCCTTGTACTGTAAAATAAATTGAACACCCTCCCCCCTCATAAAATTAACTCAAAATAATGTTTACAACCACAAATAACATTTAGACTACTTTCTAAAAACAAGAATTGTTCACCTCTTGGTTCAGCTGTCAGAGATTTGAGCACTAAATGTATCAGGGCATTGCATGCAAAGGCTTAAGTGTCCACTGTATGATATTCATATTTTAATATGTACAGTGCATTCGGAAAGTATTCAAACCCCTTGACTTTTTCCACATTTTGTTACATTACAGCCTTTTTCTAAAATTGATTAAATACATGTTTTTCCTCATCAAGCAACACACAATACCCCATAATGGCAAAGCGAAAACAGGTTTTTATTAAATGTATTAAAAATAAAAAACTGAAATACCTTATTTACATCAGTATTCAGACCCTTTACTCAGTACTTTGTTGAAGCATCTTTGGCAGCGATTACAGCCTCGAGTCTTGGCGCTACAAGCTTGGCACACCTGTATTTGGGGAGTTTCTCCCATTGTTCTCTGCAGATCCTCTCAAGCTCTGTCAGGTTGGATGGGGAGCATTGCTGCACAGCTATTTTCAGGTCTCTAAAGAGATGTTCGATGGGTTCAAGTCCAGGCTCTGGCTGGGCCACTCAAGGACATTCAGAGACTTGTCCAGAAGCCACTCCTGTGTTGTCTTGGCTGTGTGCTTAGGGTCGTGGTCCTGTTGGAAGGTGAACCTTCGCCCCAGTCTGAGGTCCTGAGCACTCTGGAGCAGGTTTTCATCAAATATCTCTCTGTACTTTGCTCCATTCATCTTTCCTGACTAGTCTCCCAGTCCCTGCAGCTGAAAAACATCTCCACAGCATGATGCTGCCGCCACCGTGCTTCACCATAGGGATGGTGCCAGGTTTCCTCCAGGCGTGACGCTTGGCATTCAGGCCAAAGAGTTCAATCTTGGTTTCATCAGACCAGAGAATCTTGTTTCTCATGGTCTGAGAGTCCTTTAGGTGCCTTTTGGCAAACTCCAAGTGGGCTGTCATGTGCCTTTTACTGAGGAGTGGCTTCCGTCTGGCCACTCTACCATAAAGGCCTGATAGGTGGAGTGCTGCAGAGATGGTTGTCCTTCTGAAAGGTTCTCCCATCTCCACAGAGGAACTCTGGAGCTCTGTCAGAGTGACCATCGGGTTCCTCCTACCTAATTCAGCACTTCTTCTTCTATGATATAACGGCGGACCGCAAACCAACGTTAAAGGTGCAAGCCGCCACCTACTGTGCTGGAGTGTGTGGTCAATCACGGTTTGCAACATTTCTAAATCCTCCTAACTCAGTACTTTTGAGAAAATAAAAAAGAACCCTACTAATGTCTAATAGACCCTCCCCATCCCCAAACTCCCTTCCAACCCCCCCAACCCCGTCCAACGTCAATGACCCTACACTTCAATCTTTCCCTCTCTTCAACATTCTTACAACAATATAACAACACATGCTTCACCATTTCATCGATCATACACTCCAGACACAAACCATTCCCATGCTTGCCAACCAAATTTAATGACGAGTTCAATGTACAATGTCCTAAGCGCAATCGAGCAAACACCACCTCTTCCTTCCTAATCTGACCTTTGAATCTTGGTCCACCTACCTTTTTTTTGGAGGGCATATAAATGCCGGCCCTAGAGCTCAGAGTCCCATCTCTTCTGCCACACATCTATCAACATGGCTCTGGTCTTACATTTGGCCTCACCTCTACCCAGTGGAACATTAATATCAATTATATCTAGTTTCAAAGCTCTTTTGGCTAACTGGTCTACAATTACATTCCCTCCCACACCTGAATGTGCTGGGACCCAGCAGAATCTCACTACTACACCCATTCTCTCAATTCTCCATAATAACATTAATACCTCCAATAGTAGGTCACTGCTATTAGATTTACCAGATGATAAACTATTCAACACAGACAGAGAATCTGAGCATACTATCATTCTAACAGGTTGTACGTCCTCCACCCACTGGAGGGCAACTATTATCGCCAACAGTTCAACTGAGTATACTGACAGTTCTTCTGTTAGTCTTCTACATATCTGCACATCATATTCAGGAACATAAACGCCTGCTCCTGTGCGCCCACTATCTGGGTCCTTGGATCCATCTGTGAAAAGCGGTAAAAAAGCATAAAAGCTTATACCAATGTAATTGTCAACCAGTTTCCTTATATCACTGACATCTGACCAATCTTTCATTTTCTCTACCAAGGTTAGATCAACAACAGGATCTGGGAGTAACATCCCCTACCACCACAGAAGAGCCTCTGAAATGCACTTCTTCTTTTTCTTCAATGAGGTTTAACGGCGGTTGGCATCCAATAGTCTTGTAGACTGGAGTATAACTTCTGTGTACTTTGCTTTTTAAAATTATAATAATCAAATACAACAAATACCCTACCATCTAACACTACACTCACAAAAAATAAAATAATAATAATAATAATATAATAATAAAATAATAATATGCCATTTAGCAGACGCTTTTATCCAAAGCGACTTACAGTCATGTGTGCATAAATTTTTATATAATAAATACCATACTCCACTATTTAAATCTATTTAGTCCTACTTCAGGTCAACAGCCTGAAAGGATGGGACACCACCACTTAACACACCCTGTAACTCTTCTGATGTCAAATCAAATCTTCAAATCAAATCACATTTTATTTGTCACATGCGCCGAATACAACAGGTGTAGACCTTACAGTGAAATGCTTACTTACAAGCCCTTAACCAACAATGCAGTTTTAAGAAAGAATACCAAAATAA